CAGTAGATCTCTCAAGAGAGATAGATCTGTGTTTTATAACTTGTTAATATGTTCACAACTTCTAAAATGAATTGCAACCATTCTTGAGACAAAGTCTATTAATAGAAGGTTTAAGCAGACTTCTTAATTGTCAGTTGATTGATACAGTGTGCTATAAAATAGTTGAACCTCAAAATAGCTAATGAATCAAAGTTCTCATACCTGAAACATTTGCTTGACCTTCCTGCGTGGCAGATTAACATTAAGCTTGTGAAGAAGTTGATAGATTTCGTCAATGTTTAGCAGGCCGTCTCCATTTTTATCAGCTTCCTCAAACGTCTGCTTCATCCACGTTAAACACTTGCATTAAGGAACGTGGTTACTCTTTGTGAATTTCCTTACTTCAAAAGTAATGGCAGTTTAAACAGTGAGACAAATAATCAAACTTTAATGAAATTGCAGAGAAGGATAAATAATACAGAGAGAAAAAAGGATATTGGTCATGTGTGCGTTGCCGCTTGGCCAACGAGTCCTCGTCACTTATCCCGGCCATCAGGTAGCGAAGGCCAGTGATCCAGGTTCTGGCCTCCTCTGCATTCGATGTAACCAGGTCGAGTGACTCCATGTGGTTTCCATGATAAACCGTAAAGCAGCAGGCCTGATCAAAGCTGCCATCTGCATGCCGATGGAAGACATCTGACTGACCACCCTCCGTCACCTTGTAAAGGGAATCTATGGTGACTACCATGTTAAGAAAAGACAGAGAAATGATTAATAGTTAATAAACATTTACAAATTCCTTTATTAACTAAAATGTTGTATTATCAAATTGGATATATAATCACACCTCGGTAAGTATAAAATATTAATAAGTCCCAGTCAGCCCTTATAATCCTTTTTTTTTTTGTGAGTACACCTGGGTAGACATTGAAAAAAGTCGTAAGTCTGTCAACCGGCAAGAAATCAATCCTTTAGGTGTAAAACAGACTGATTATGTGGAGAAAAGTGAGACTTGCAAGGTTTTAATATGGTTGCTTATAAAATTTTGAATAAACTTGTGATTTAAATATTGGCAGGATTGTGATATTCAAGGGACACAAAGCCAGTCTAGTCATCAGTGATATTTTTCCCCACACTTTCATTATTTACAATAGGTACCTTATCAGCATATTACATTGCATGACACAAATCACAATTTACTGTTTCT